GAGGCGAGGTCCTCCGGGACTCCAGAGTCTTGCCTCGCCACATTCAGCACCGGCGAAACTTTCAGACTGTTGTCCTCGAGCGGCGTCTTCTCCATCTCGAGGCTCGGTTGCTCGTTCGTCGGTGACACGCTCATTTCGCGGTTGCCATTCTGTAATTCAAAATAGTCAAACAATAAGCCACGTTGAATATATGCCGGATAATCGTGCGAACTTAATGGATACTTTTACACGAAGAGAATTCGAGGAACGGAAGAAACCTAAGTAAAAGTTTGCTTCAGGCTTTAGCCATTACGACCGCTTTTTATATAATTTTTTACTCGTTACATACGTAATACGCATACGGTATAGCAGAACTCTACCAAGTATCGCACAGTGTGGCGGAGAAAAATACAATTTTATCCTCGCAGACCTCGTTGCCGAGAAAATCGAACGTAAACGTCGCATCGAGGATGCGTAGGCTGCATCGATTCCTGTCCGAACGTATTCGGGTTCGATTTCCTCTTCTTTTCACGAAAAAAGAAAGATAATAATCTGGGTCGAGAGAAGTTAAAATACCAAAGAAGGACAGCACAGAGAAGTTAGCGTAGTCACGCTATATGAGAGACTGACCGACTAACTCAGACACAGACGAATTCTCGAACCAGAGAAACGAATAATCGAAAGGGACCGTTCACGGTTGAACGAACAAAGCAACGTCCAGCACAGACTGGACAGACTTGCCAGATCGATAAAGCAATTAAAATCCGGATCTTGACCATGCACTGGCAATCGTCTCGATATTCGATTACTTCGGACCATATCCGGCAATCCTTCCAGAATTCACGAAAATGAAACACACATGTACGAGGGCCAACGATTTTTGAGATCCGGATGAAAATTGAATATTCCGTCCAATCGCCCGAAGGAAATTCCCCGTTCATCCGATTATACAAGGGGTTAAACGAATTCGAGTGTGAAATCTATAGGGTGATTGTGGATATTTTGGTAAATTTTTCTTCGAAATATTTTACTTATTTCTTAGCTTTCTTCTAAATTTCGTCTATTTCTTCTTTTATCGTTTCGTCGTATCGTTGTTTTACTTTTTCGAGTTTCACATGGGAATTTTCACCTGCGAATTAAATGAATGAATCTTACTCATTACGGGAATGAAGGTGTCGCGTCGCTAGTACGAGATCTTCGTTGATTCGTCGGCCACGCGTGTAAATACACGTGTTTGAAGTATCGCGAAATACCAGCGAGAAATTGCAAGTAAGATCGCGTAATCGCGCTGGCAATTTGTTTTTCATTACCAGCCGGGGAATCTGTGACATATACCTTTTGGTCAAACATATAAAACTCGCTGCAAAGACAAATCGACCAAAGTCCTCGAAGCATACGGTAAAAATAACCGTTACGTGTGTTAAATTACGTGTCTCACAAAAAAAAAAAACGCAATTTAGACGACCAATTTTAAAAACACATTAGTCGCCTCAATTAAGTTATTACCAGCTAGAAAACGAAAGAGGCGGTAATAAGAAAGAAAAACATAGTCAAAGAAATACGACGTATTAAAATTGGTCATTCCGTGTTGAAAGAAATACGTTTATTCAGAAATGTTGCCTACTCTATTTTAATACAAAACCAGTTACTTCGGCGATCTTGATCGGTATGTTTCTATGGCTCGTGACCTACCATCGCGACTAAAAGTTTTACATCCATTGATTTAACTACGTATAAATGACGTATTATTGTGATATTCAATCTGTGCGTTACGATACTCAAGACGCACAGGTTTCAAAAGGCATTGAAAGTCGAAAACAAAGTCCACGAAAAAAGGAAAAAAGGAGAAACATCGGTTCAACGTGACCGTAGCGGTAAAAACATCAGCACCTTCGCCTCCACTTCCGTCTTATAATCTCTCGCTCGATGCTTTCCTTTCTCTTTTTAGTCGCTGCTTCCGCCATATATTGCTCTCTTTCTCTTCCGCGTGGTTACGTACACACTATGTACTTCAATGATAATCGGCGAGGAAGATCACGTCAGCACGCGGTGTTCCCCCTTCCGAGCATGTTTAGATCGCGTAAAAGGCGTTTAATCACGTGCTTAGTCATTGAACGAGTGTGCAATCCATCGTTGATCGATCGCTGCGCATCTTTCGCGTAATTTATATCTGATGAAAGGCAGCAAGAAGTCTTAGCGACGAATACATCCACGTGTCTCCCGATAAACTCTCTTATCAAACTTTACGTCAGGATTTTACTAGTTGGGTCGTTTCGACTCGTTAATTTCGAAGCTTTTCGCTTTGCAATTGGCTGATTCTTTCTGTGTCGTAACTGTGTCGTCGTAAAGTAACAGGAAATTGCTTTTGACGATCGAGATGAATATCGGAAGGAAGAAGCTCTGGTATCCCTAATTTAAGGACGCTCGAACGTCGTAAGTCGTAACGGCAAAGATTACAGGAACGACGAGACATTAAATTAAATTGCATCGACGCAATTCCATTCTAGAAATTCTAATTCGCTTCTAACGCTCAAGTTAGAAAATCCAAAATTTCTAAAATTCACATCGTTAGAACGAAAATGCTCCAAATGCTCAAAAAATCGTAATATACCAGTACGAGCATCAAAGGAAACGTTAAAACATTCTACACCGCAATGACCTACGAACGATTAGGTCACTCCACCCACCACCAGAATCCTCGAGCAACTCAGCCGGATTCCAGTTTCCTCCAATTACACAAACCGTCCAACAGGAAACTTCAACCTACCAGCGACCACTGCTAAACGACGAACGAAATCCTCTCATTAAAATTTACGTCGTTTCCCATTCTTCCGAACAATCATTACCCAGTCTAGCCTATCTAAATCCCATCGACGATCACCTCCGAATAAAAGCCATCTATTCGAGTACCTTGTAATCTCGATACATATTCCAATTTCCAACAAAGCTATCGATAATGATATTATAGCGAAAAAAGGGACAGACTCCGGCGAGTGTCTCGAAGAAATTGCTCGACTCTGACAAATACGTAAGGTCGATATCGTTGGCGATAGAGAGCTACGCTTGACCGTGATAATCGGCGAGAACCGTGTAAAAGC